GGAAGGGAGCACGCGGGCGACGGTCTCAGGTACTCTTGGGCGGATTCCAGTGGCGGAGCTAGCTTTTAACACCAGGGTGATCCGCCTCTAATTTTTTTTACAACAACTATTACATGTAAACATTTTAACTAATTGCAGATACCACAAAAATAGATAAATATTCATTCAAGTCTCAGTTTTGCATAAAAAATGCTTGCATAGTACAGTACATACCTTGAGAAGTTAACCATGTAAGTATCAATTATATGATCTTCACTAGATCACGAAGACGCGCGGCGATGGTCCATTCTAAAGGGATAATACAATATATTTAAGAACTAGTTAGAAAATGTTAAACAATAGATATTAATTGAACATTTCAAATTACAATGTTGTCCATATGACCATATCCATAGGGAAAGTTGGTTTGACCGAGAGGCCACATGTCAGCTTGAATACTTAGCATCTGTTTAACATTTGGAAGAAAAAACTTGGCATCGGTTTTTGTTCTAGCACAAATATATTACCGGCAAAAGATAACATCCAATTCCAAAGCATATATTGAGCTTTCTATGAGATATATTACCACCATCTTATTTCTCAACTTGCTCTTGACTAAACATGGTGGTGAAAAAGTTTTGCAATATCTCCGGTTCTCTTCATTCTTCAATAACTCTACAATACAAATTTACTTTCTTTCAATCATAAATTCACAATGACAGAATTGAACAGAAATAATATGCTTAATTATGTTTGTGTTCATCGGCTCATGTTCATCAGTCTATGTATTGTACTATCCAGTGCACAATACAACAAACAAACCCTAAATCAAAAGGAGAATTGGGGAATGGATGAAAGGTACCTCAAATCAGAATGAGCCGAGTGCCGGAATGCGAACTGGGCGGTTGCCGCCGGCTCGCAGGGGCGCCAGGCGCCAGGGATAGGGCAGGGTCGCAGCCTGGACGGTTGTGCGGCTGGCGCAGAGCGCCGGACATGCCGAGGGCGCAGCGAGGATGCAGGAGCGGGGGAGCCTCCTGGGGGCTGGGGGCTGCCGACCGGCGAGGCAGGCGGAGGCGGGAGCCGAGGACGGGGATGAGGTGGCCGGCGGCTGGGTGTTGGGCAGAGGGCCGGCGGCTGGGTGCGTGCGTGCGTGGTGTCTCGCTGCGAATCTACGAGCCAGAGCCGTTGTTGGGCCGTTTTTTTTTTACTTCTCTGGCCCATCTCTATACGCATAGACAGTAGGTATACAGGCCAGGTCAAAATCCCAGGGTGGGCCGCGGCCCACCCTGGCCACCCTGTAGCTCCGCCCCTGGCGGATTCCTTCGACCTGGAGGTACATGGGAATGAGGCAAAGACTTCAGGACAAGTTAGATGGCCTTGGGGTGTTTTCCGGCCATGGAAGAAGCAACTCGGAGCGCGCTGTGGAAGAAAAACAAGGCTCCAGAATGTGACGTGATTTGAAGGGACCCACTCGCTGGTCAAATACTGCTTTGACCATATCCACGTCAGCAAACAAGCTAAGTAAACACATGATAGACGAATTCTGAATGGTATTGGTTAGATTAGGGGGTTAAAGGAGCAGAAAAAATTATCGGGGGGTTATGTGAACGAGTCATTTTCTTCCGGGTAGTAAAATGGAATTTTTTTTAAAAAAAATAACAACTGTGATTCTGCTCGCCTATCGGTTGCAGCAATAACTACCCGTGGTTCCAGCTCTAGATTAGGACAGTTGCAGCAAAAAAATCTTTCGGTTCCAGCATCGTTGTCCGCTTGCCAGCACTTCAACCATCGCTATAGTCATTCATGGAGGCTGGTCGGTACGACTTGGCACGGCGCCTCAGCATGATCCCATCACGTCCGTTACGGGAGCCCCTATTGCAAAATAAGCGGAGGAAGGGCAGTTGCTGGGCCGTCTGGTGATGGAAGCTCGACAGAACGCTGACGAGGCAGCATGAGCGTGAAGCGGAGAGAGAAAAAGATAGAGAAGCGAACGGGTAAGATAGGAAAATAAGGACATGCAAATGGGCCCCGCCACCCCATGTGCCGTGACTTGATTCGCTGTAGCACGTGCGTGGACGTGCTGTAGCACGTGCGTGGACGTGACCGGCCGAAACTTCGGTCGGTGGAAAACGTTTGCCTATCAATTATCAGCTCTGGACGAGATTATTTCCTGGGCGGCGGCGGTGGGGCTAGAGGCGACCTGGACGATCGCAACAGGAGCGGAAGACATTGATCGATAACCTAATTTGATATTTCATCTATATCTATACTACTGTTAAGCAATCAAACAAAAACTCCTTTAAGCATACCTCATAAAGTGTACACAGATTCAATATCACCGCACGATTAGGCCCACTAAAATCAATCTAACGGTTAGACTTAACCTAAACTATTTTCTGTGTGCACTTAGCAATTTACATTGACTGACCGTACTTCACCGTGGAGGAAAATATGAAACTTCACGCCTGAGAAATTAGGAAACTAATCTCAGACAAATCCATCATATTAAAAATCTTATCTCCGACGCATCCATCCTATTAGGAAGCTAATCGTGAGCCGCCTGCCGCCATCATCCACATCAGTCGAATTTATTTTGTTTCATGACAGAGAAACCATATACATTTCGCTATTTTGCCACATATATTTATTCTTATATACTTGTGCAGTTTCAAATAATCCAACATATCTGCAGTCATCAAACTTGAAGACATACTTTTTAAGGCCTTATTTGCACCGCCTCTCTTTCTTTGTCTGCACGCCTCTTTCCTCCAGTAATAATAATGAATAACTTTTTTTCGGATCAGTTATTACACTGTTACAAATGTATGCTGAAGCTACTCCTTACGACAAGAAAAAAGAGGATGAATGCTTTCTATATTCACCAGTTTTGTAGCATGTTCCAAATTGTTGGCTCTTTCTTATTTAAGGATTCATCGTGTTTTTTGTAATTTAGAAGCTGACTTGAAAGCTTGATAAGGTTAAGCTTGACAAATACTCTGAAATATTGTTCCTTCCATCTTTATTTTGCTTCCTGACTCATTTCAGTTTCTGTACGCACAGAGCGTCTTACAGCATTGTAAGTTAGTATGGTTGCCAGTGGCGTAGCCAACCCAATACGCCAGGGTGGTCCATTGATAGAAACATTTACATAAGATTATTTATTTTCAAAGAAATACTTTTTTACTGCACTGTATATAAGCTATGGAGAAATTCCAGGGTGGTCCATGGACCACCCTGGCCACCCCCTTGCTACGCCACTGATGGTTGCCAACGCATAAACACATACAAAACCGGATAAATACTTTTTATCATGATAATTATTGGATTTCTTTTAGCCCTTTTATATTTCAATTAGTTCTTGTAAATAATCTTTATTTTATATAGAAGTCGTTGTAGTCACATATCATCTTTTATTTCCTATTATCCATAGTAGGTAGCTATATAATTTTGGCAATCCACACAACCATAAAATATATATAATTTGATCCAAATTAGTACAAGTATATATTTTGCTACGCAGATTAGTAGAATAAAATAAGATTCAAGAATTAAGCATCTTGAACAATATAATTGCACCGTAAGGCAGTTTATACTTTTTTTTCCTGGCTACACTCGAAGAGAAGACTACACTGCAAGGCTATATTACTGCATTAATAAATAATTGCTGATTTTATTTAAATGAGAATATTTTCTTGCGATTACTCTATGAAGCAACATAACCACTATTGTGTCTCACTTTTGAAAATACAATTTGAGCGACATCAAACATTGTGTATCCATTTGATTTATATTTCTAAAAATATTTATTTTTTATATTATGTGAATCTCACCTGGTTTACGTTTGGGACGTGTGTTGCACGTGCATGCTTACTAGTGCAAAAAAACCTGATTTGATACCATATTAGGGAAACTGCACGACACCGATAACAGGTGTGGCTATCTCATATAAATAAAGGCGTACACAAAAGTGTACTACAATACAATATACAAGACATATACCGAAGATAAATATAAATACAGTCTAACAGTCCATACTCTCCTTGGTCTCGATGTTCACTCCAGGTGATCTCCTAGTAGAGATCCAGTCGGAGTTGCAGTAGGACTACATCCGGGCAATGCTAGACTTACGTAGATTAGTTACGAACGTTTACGTAAAAACCAAGGTGAAGAATTATTATTGGTGCTTAGGGAAGGGAGGGCCCCACCCCCCTAAAAATCAGGGGGGGGGGGGGGATGTTTAGATTAGTTTAGAAGGTTATACGTAGCTTTTCGTATGGCGTTCGTAGGTGTAGGATTATTGGACTACATCCACGGTTGATTTGTGAAGCACAGATCCGAGCCCTATATATTACACGTAGGAGAGACAGTTGGAGTTGGACTAGGGATCAGAGTCGGTTAATGCCGGCCTGGGTATATATACATCTGTATGTATATATATATATATAGGCTCCTCCTCTGCCATAGGTCCCTCACCTCCTCTGCCGCAGACTGGAAGATGCCCCTCGTCGCGGAGAAATTGAGGTGCCTGGCGGCCAGTCTCACCGACGATCTCCTAGTGGAGATCCTCTAAGCCTTGAGGTCAAGCCGCTCTGCCGCTTCAAGTGCGTCTCCATGCCTGATATAACCTCATCTCTGATCCCTACCACTGCAAGAAGCTTCCCCAAACCCTCGCTGGCTACTTCTACGGCAGTCCAATCGGCCCGGCGGCACCTCTCCGTTTCAGCAGAGTCTCACGACAGCAAACCTGCCCTATGTTCTTTCCCTATTTTGCGGTCCAGTTGCCCAGGTACCAGGAGATTGTGCTCTCGGACAGCTGCAACGGCCTGCTCCTCTACCGATGCTTGGACGCCACGGGAGATACAGAGTACGTCGTGGTCAATCCTGCCACCAACAAGTGGGCTGCATTGCCCTCCTCCAGCCAGGGCAGCAAGTTCTGTGAGGCGCGATTGGGGTTCGATCCCGTCTTGTCGCCCTCCCACTTTCATGTGTTCAAGTTCGTCGAGTAGGAAGATGATTTCATCATGGCAGTGGAGATATATTCTTCTAAAACTGGGGGATGGGTTTACAAGGAAATTGAATGGTACGGTCATATTGTACTGATTGATAGCCCATGGGCTTATGTGTTTCTCAACGGTTGTCTGCATTTTCTGTATGAGGAAGCTAATGTAGCTGTGGTGGGCACGGAGGGGAAGACATGGAGGAACGTTCATGTTCCTCATATTTGGAATTGGGATGAAGGTAGTTTCATTCACCAGTCACAGGGCAGCTTGCACTATTCAAATTTTGAGAAAGATCATGTTGTCCCATGCTTAGTGGTTTATGTCTTGGAGGACTATGACAGAGAAGAGTGGGTGTTGAAGCATCGCGTTGAGACTTCATACCTATCAGACCTTGAAGTGAACTTTGGTTGGGTTGCCATTCACCCAGACAGTAACTTGATATTCTTCACCATAGGGCAGGATAAGACATTGAGGTCATACATTATGGAACATCGGAACATTCAAGTCATCCATGCATGATCTTGGACATGACTCTGAGTCACCTTATCTATCATACGTGCCATTCTACTTGGAGTTAGAGGGTTTGCAGTTGTGACACTAGCTACACTACTGCCATTAATTGGTCTAGTCTCTCCATTAGCAATATGAGAGAAGTTATTCTTCAAATTTTCAACAAGTTGTTCTGTAGTCAGAAAATATCTCTGTCCCTCTACGTAGCATGCATGGTTCCAGAGATCTTGTATGTGTACTTGTCGGTTGTGTAACCAAAGCATCTTATTGGCATCTTATGTGTCTGATACTAATGATGCAATGTGTGAGATTGTTTCGAAGGTGAAACACTTCGAATGAATACTTGGGTGTTAATATCAGAATGGCTGTTAGCTTATTAAAATAACATCAGCAAACTATGCTTGGATATAATAACGTTATTTGTATGTCTAAACATTTAAATTATCTGTAATGCTATACTCCGTGTCACAAGACATGGAAGGAACCCTCTTTACTCCATCTCTACATTGTGTTTCGTTAGCTAGCCGCTGGCACTTACATGTGCTTTTAGTTAGGATTTTGAATGATCTTTTCAGTGGCAGGTTCAAAGATGATACATTACGTTTCCTCGGAAAGGGGAGTACTGTATCACGATGATTCATTGTAGATTTTGTAGCTAGGCCCAACACATACACATATACACAACATCTCATTCGTTTCACCCTGCCTATCTATCAACCGACGGCTAGCCGACACTTGGCATCCCTGCCTGTCTGCTGCCCAACAGTGATGCATTGCCTTAATTTTAGAGAAAGAGAGAAAAAGGGTGGTTACCATCTGGACAAGGGAAGCGAATGTTGTGGAAGCCTCACACTTTGGTCTGGTACTAACAGTAACAGAAGATGCAATGCATTCCCGGTGTTAATTATCAGCTCTGGATTAGAGTGTTTGCTCTCTCGAACCTCAGGCCTCAGGCCGGCTGTCGTCCTTGGAGAGCATCCTGTGAGAGGAGTTATCCATGTCAGCTTCGGAAGTTGAGGAAATATAAGTTTCTGTCTCCCCGATTAGGATTTCCGATTGTTTCCGCAATACATACCTGCCCACTAAGGGAATCTGGGAAATAGTGATTATCCCACTCGGAGCTAGTAAGTGGCTAATTACTTAAGCACAATTTGTTTTTGAAAAGGGAACACACTGTGGCATGCTAGAATCATTGTCAGACTGAAACTATTGAGCACTTGGTGCAGTAAATAAATACAAATGACAAAAACAGATATACTGTCAGACCTATGATGGCCGGATTCGCCGGGCTGCCATTATTGCCAGACGCACACGTTTAGCACCACCTCCACGCTCGCGCTGTAGGTCACACATCAGCCTGTTGAGGTGCGGTTCAAGTGCAGTTGTCGTGTGTCCTAGCAATTATGTAAAATATGTTTAAGCGGTTATGGGGGAATCCCACCTCTTATCTGACTCGTCCATCTACTATCTAATGGCTCTAGTTGGAGGTTTCATGTTTTCACCGGATACGTCGCCTTATTTTTAAGTCAACACCAGATTGTCATGCCCATACAAAATTCACCTGCTTAATTTAGAATTACAAAACGAAATTCATAGCTGAATAAAGGGCACATCCGTTCACGTAATTCTCGAAGCACCTATCCTTGCATATCTTCATTAGTCCAGAAACCTAACCAATCCAGAAGGAATTTGGGGACTCCACCAGAAATTTTGGACTCACTGCATCATGTATCCATGTTTTTTTTAGAAAAGGAGGAGGACCCCGGCCTCTGCATATGGACCTCTGCATATGAACGATGTATCCAGCCACTTTATTAATTGATCACAAAAGACTTTACAAAGTCATACAATAGTAAGACTAAAGCCAGCGTCTAGGCAACATCTGTCGCTATTCCTATCCAGTTGATGAAGGGATGCTGATAGTCTGGACCTAATACCAAACAGACCTCGCAGCCAAACTTAACATCTAAGACCTGAGGTCCCAACCAGGACGCCTGCCGGGTATGGACACCCACCAGTCCGGCGCACTCCTCAACCAGGACGCCTGCCGGGTATAATGCCGCCGCAGCCACCTGCCACCAATCCATCTTCAGTGTTGTACTGCTACATCAACCTTGCCAGGCCTGCCGTCGACGCCACCACGACGCCAGATAACACCACCATTCTACGCATGTCCATCCACGCGCGCCCATCGCCGAAACTCCTCAGCGCCATGCCGCCGTGATCCGCCGTCGGCCTTGCGGTAGATGTAACACCGCTCCTCCTCTTGCTACCTCCATCCATCACTTGCTCCAAAACAATGCCCCCAAGAGGGAAAGCGATACAGAGAACGCCATCATCGTATGATCTGGGAGATCCAGATCTAGGATTTCGCCCGGGGCATCCCAAGCCTGATGATGCAAACTGCAACGACGATGCCTCGACAAGGAAACGACATCCAAGACACCGCCATCGTCCATCATGACCATAGTCGGTGCAATTTTCATCGGCACTTGCTCCACCGGGCGTGCGCCGTCGGCGTCGCTGGTCCCTTCAACCGGAGCAAACTCCAAAACGATGCCCTGAAGAGGGACTACGATGCAAAAGCACCTCCATCGCTCAATCCCAAGGGGATCTAGGGTTTCCACCGGAGTTGCCCGCGCCGTCAAGGACCAAACAAGGATGGAATCCGCAAATCCGCCCAGCTGCCGACGTGTCGCACCCGCCACCGCGCCGACCGCGACCCGGAGACCAAGCCCACACCTGGGCCCTGATCCGGCCGCGTCGCTGCAGGTTCGGTCGCGCCACCGCCGTTCCTGACGACCGCGACGCCCCAGACCTTGAAGCCGCCTGCGGTGGAGGTATGGAATCGCCGGAGCGCCGCCACCCCCCGCCGTGACGTCCGGCCGAACACCATGCTCCGGCCCGGGCGCGCCGGCCTGCGCCAGCCCCTCACGAGCGGGAGGGCCCCGAGTCCCCGCCGGCGGCGGCAACGGCACGGCTTTGCGCTGCCACGCCCTCGGATGGCGGCGAGGGAGGAGGAGGAGGAGAAGGGGAGGCCAGGCGACGGGATCTGGGAGCCTCCCTGCCGCCACACGGGGGCGACTCGGGAGGAGGCAGGAGCGTATCGGGAGGAGGCATCATGTATCCATGTACAATCTTATATGTTTCTTAGTGCCTCTGTTTTGAAGCAACATTTCCCATCTACAACTCCTCCAAATTAAGATTTCTCAATAGATTTTTTTTCGTCTAGTATATGGGTGCAAATAACGTAGAGTGTTGTGACAAGTATGATGTCTACAAAGCAGACTATAGGCTTCCCGAAAAGAAAAAAAAGAGAGCAGACTATAGGTATATGGAGCGAATATAACGATATAATGTAGGAGTTAGTGTGCTTAAAAAAGGAAGGTTGGTGGGTGCGTTAGCCATCCATCCACAACACATTAAGATCAGATCCTATTTTGGTTGCAAAAAAACAAAATCTTAGCATTCATGTGTTTCAGTTCAACTTTATTTGCATCCGGTGGGAGCAAATGAATGAACTATATGTTTTGAATTATGTTGGAAAAGGCACAAAAATGAGTGAGTGCATACATTTTTCTTGACTTCATGCTGAGATTAATGCGGCTATTCTTGATTTACAATAACTAGGAAAGTAAAACAAGATCAAATTTAAGACAATCAAGTTCAAAAAATACAACATAAAACTTCCACTAGTGCAGAACCGGCCTTTAGTGCCGGTTCGTAACGGGGACTAAAGGCCCCCCCCCCCTTTAGTACTGGTTCGTCACGAACCGGCACTAAAGTGTCACCACATGGAACACCAACCAGTACTAAATATTTGGGGGGGGGGGGGGTTGATTTATTTTCCATTCAATTTTTTTTGTTTGCTGGTATTTCACGATACTACAAACTGTACACGTTATGCATATATGTAAATAGATTTTCTCGTACGTAGAACCGCATTATATATATATATATATATATATATATCATCGAATGTCTCACAAACCAACACCATTAATTATTCACACATACACATGTATATACATATACAATTTCTCCTACATATGTTGTCTTTGGTGCCTCCGAAGCACGATGACAAGTGGTTCATGGGGCAGTAGCGGGTAATAGTATTCTCCTTTGGGATCTATGACCTGGTCGAGCAAAAATCCAGTTATTTCCTCTTGAAGTGCTAGTATGCGGTCCGATGGTAGGAGCTTATCCCGCACCGATCTGAACTGTTAAGGAGATCAATATGCATGTGTGTTAGTTGTGTGACTAGATATCGATAATGGTGTGAATAGTGTTCTGACAAACGTACCCAGTCCTGTCTATCAGATCTGCTCCTTTCGAACGTCATCATGCGAATGTTCTCGCAAACGTAGAATGCACACAGATTATTCTCCGGCGCATGCTTCAGGGCCTTTACGAGAATGTAATTGAATCAGATAATGATTAATCAAGCATGATAATTAATTAATGATATTGAAACAAGAATTAAAGAGATGGTAGCTAGCTAGTACTACTTAATTACTTACTTTGGGTCGATGCCAAAACAACTTTTTTGCCCACTTGCCTGGAGTCACCTTGATGAACTTTGCCCATGCCCTGCCCGCCGGCAAAGAAAATTAGTAAAGGGGTTATTAAATAGTTCATATCAGAAAATGATGAACTAATAATTAATAGGCCGAGATATAGTTAATAATGATTGAAATTACCTATTGACTATCCCCTTCACGATGGTGTAGTCTTTATCTTCTTTAGTTAGTGAGTCCAGTAATTCAACTTTTCCTTCCTCAACTTTAATGTCTAACAAGACTCAGTGCCAACTGCATACGCACATGTTTGCATGTCTTAATTAGGCGGGCATGTGCATAAAATTAATCAACTACCGTAAACCATATACACTTAATTATTAACATCTAGCTAGCTAGTAAACAAAAAAACAGAATTTGTAGTACAAGACAGTGTGACTCACGGGAAGTTGTATGGAAGTAGTATATCTTCATTGCTCTTGAGGCGCTTCA